AACAGATGTATAAAAGACTTTTAAATAAAAATAACAGCCACCATGACACTTCAATGTCATTTTTTTACTGTACAACAAACAGTAATAAAGTTTATATTTTACAAAATAAAATATTTTTTAATTCAATATCTATTATTGAAACTTTAACGTCACTTGAATACAAATAAAAATTTTAACAGTATTTAGTTAAATCTTGTCATTGTTTCTATATATTTATTTGATTACATTTATAAATCATTTTTAATATATTTTATCAGAATTAAAAAAGCATTATAACTCATTAATTTTATCTAAAAATTTAATAAAATTTTAGCTTTACTCCTATTAAATATATATATTTTAACAACACATTTTCTCTCACAACATTTAATGAAAAGCCCTTAATCATATCAAACTTTTTAAAGAAACTAAGATATAATAGTGTGAGCACCCTTTGTCATTCTATCCTCAAAGAGAAATCATTTTGCAATCAAATCAAGCCAATAACCATGAAAAATTAAAATTCAAGAATTGAATTGAAGAGTTTAAAAGAGAATTTAGATGTTTATATTTGATTTTAATGTGACAAATAAAGAAAAAAACATGTAGAAATTAACCAAGTATCAAAATAGCTTCTCAAGCTTAGATTTCACCACTCCAATCCTTGTTTTTCCTCACCTAGTTTTAGATTCAATTACCTTCTTCAATTGATGTGTAAAGGTATCTTAATGACTATCAAGACTAGGTGATAGTGATTAGAACCTAATAACTATTTAGAATCCAATGCACAAAACACCTAAGTTAGATATACCAATATATGATTCAATCCTTGAAACTAGTTATAGCTCTTACCTTGATCATATTTAATACCTTAAATTAATCAAGATTATGATATTAATTAGAGTTTAAGACCTAAACAATAGCTAATATGAGTGCAGACAACAAGATATTGAAATAAAAATATGTATTTATTCATCAAAACTTTGAGGCATAAACATAAATACTTAAAATGTATAACTAGTTTAAAAATCAAATGTACATCTTCTCCTCTTTAGAACAAGAATTTTAGCCATAATTATTAATCTAAAACCTAGAATCAATCATCAAGAGCATGAGTTACAGAATTAAAGAAGGAGAAGAAAAGAATCCAAAGCAATTGAATGTAAGAGAAAAGGTTTAGGAGAACTCAATATATGGCTTCATCTTTCTTAGAAAACTTTAAGAATCTAGCCTCTCATGGTGAATTCTTATTGAATTCAAGCTTGAATCCTCCTTGAGATGATTTACATTGCTTTAATACTTGCTTGAGATGAAGGAATGGAAAAAGTGAAAAAATGAAGGAAAATGACAGAAAATTTGGATGAAATGGTGGTAAAAAATTCAAAAAAGTGAAAGAGAATAGGTTTAGAATATAATATGTAAAAATGAATGAATGAGTGCGTGCACAACCCAAAATCTTATATTCAGCTTGTGATGGTGTAAAAAGAGTAAAATAGGATGGATTTCAAGTGATCAATGCCATAAAATATCTAAAACTACTTAACAAGCTTAATTAGGAGGTTCAAAAATGAATGTGACCACCATTCAAGTTAGGTTAACTTGGATACACATATAGCTCTTGTGGAATGATCCACACTTCTAAAAAGATGATAAAAAGGTGATTAAGGGTTGCTTGATCGAAATCGTTCATGTGTAGAGTCATGAGAAGCTTTTTAATTTAACTCTTGCACATGTGTCACTTTAAGATCTTTTGACTTTATACTTTATCTTGTAATCCAATCTTTTGACCATTTAATCTTGATTCAAATTCTTATTTGCATTTGCAATTGTAAACATAAGAATGATCAAAACATGTGTACAAAATTTTAAATTAAAATTTAAAGCTAATTGTAAGATATAATGTCATTTCTAAAGTTTTAGATTATAAAACATGACAATTTAGTATCAATGTTTTTGTCTTGAAACATCCTATGACTTATTTCTTTTAATGTTTTTTTATAATCTAAAATGAATTTGAATCTCAATCTCGTTCCATTAATCTTAGACAAACAAAAGACACAAACTAAACTAATATTCCAAAAATCATCAATATGACCAAAATATCCTTAAGTTATGAATAAACCTTAATTGATTTCAAAGACCTCCAAATGCCTAAATATACAAGAATTGAATTCCCAAGGATGCAATAATGCAAGAAAAGCATTATAAAATATATGTAAATAATAAAATATGTTAGAGGGTAAAAGAGAAAATTTATAATAAAAATTTATTAATGTAACTTCTAAATAAGACAAAAAAATCTTTTCTCTCTACTATATAAATTGGACTAGAGGGAGTATTATTCTATTATTCTTCTATTCTTCCTCCAGTTTGCCATTCATCTGTTCTCAAGGGCAGTATGATATAGTTGTCTTACAGTTAGATCAAATTCATTTGCAGTCAATTAAAACCTAAAATGGTCTTTTGTTAATTTCCCAAACATCTTATGTAAAGAAAACTGGATGATGAACTTACCAAGTCAATTCTACGGCAAAAAAGGAATTACATCATTTACAATAGCACAAGAATTTGTCCAACAAAAGCAATATAAGAAGTTGGTCACCTCCATTTCTATCTAAAGCACATTTGTCACAAGAAATGTGAAAAAGTCATTTTGCTTATAGTGAAACCTTACAAGCATCTTAACATCCCAAATTTCTTGAGCAAATCTTTCACTTCCCAAACTCCTTGAGCAGATCTTTCATTTCCCAAGATGATTTCTTGCATGCAGAAATAATAAATATAATTCCTTTTATAAGATTAATATAGCAACTTATTTGAATGGAGGAGAGTTGTGGAGAGTCAAACTCGGCAGGTTAAGGAATCACAGAGTCATCTTTCTTTGCAAATGAATGCCTTCGCTTTGTGCTCTACTGGATTTACAGCTTGGCAATAGATGAGAAGTTCTTGCTACACTCCATTTTCATTGCTTGCTTTAACTTGATGTTCTTCCAGCTACAAGACAACTATTGGAGTCACTCTACACAGGTCTTGGTTGCCAGTTAGATAGGTTCTCCTCAGTCAGCCCCAGTATTTTTCGGACTATGATTAACACTTGGCATTCTGTCAATTGCTTATTTTTCTAATTTACTTTTAAATTTTGTTTTTTTATGTAACTGTGGCATTGCATGGATTTTGATTTTATCCTTTGATGAAAAAGATTATAAACACATATAATTTATAGTAATAAAAAAAGGCTATTAAATTATATTGAAAGTTATTTAAACTGTAGACTTAATTAGTAATTTTTTAAAATATAAAAATAAACTGAAAATTAATTTCTTGTATGAAATAATATAAATAACACTAAATTTCAAAATATGAAACTAAAATCAAAAATCAATTTTTATGTCATTTCGAAATAATTTTCTGATTCTTTTCTCGTAAATATTCTCTTCATACTTGCGCCCGGCCTCACAAGAAAAAAAGAGGGGGGGGGGGGGGGGGAATCTCCCAAATTTCATTCCTGGGGATATGGGCAGAGCATCTTTGTGCTTGGGCGCATTATTAGGGGTGTCCCTTTCCAGCTCAAGCAAGAAGGATTAGATTGATCTCACTAAATGTCAACATGGCAAATAAATGATCAGCAAAGTTCCACATATTCAAATGATAATGGAAAAATATTACTGAAGGATCATTTATTTAATGTCAATAAAAAATTAAAAAATTTTGAAATATTATTGGAGGATCAATAGAATAATTTAAAAATAATTTTTAGATGAAAAAATTATGATACCCTTACCTTTCTTTCTTTTTAATTGAGAAATAGTTATTCCTAAGTTAATAAGGACCATTTGCATATTTCAATAATATAAAAGAATTTGATTGTGGAAAGAGATAATTGTAGATTATATTTCAATAGGTAAATATTTTTTTAATTAGCAAGTACCTATTTATATTTATATTTAGTAAGAAATTATTTGCTAATTGATAAGTTCGATTATGTAAAAAAACTTAATCATGAAAAGGAACAAGTGTAGATCATGTTTTAGCAAATAACAATTTATTAATTAACAAGTATTTTTTTACATTTAATAAAAAGTCATTTGCTAATCAACAAACTCAAAAATTTGAAAGAATTTGATTGTGAGAAGGGATAATTTAAGGGATAATTGTAGATTATGTTTCAACCAATAATAATTTATTAATTAATAAATATTCATTTGTAGTTAACAAGAAATTATTTACTAGTTGATAAATTCTTTTTCTAAAAGAAGAGAAGAAATATTATAATTTTTTATCTAATTTTTTTAAATTAGTTTCTTTATTTTTAAGTAATTTTTCAAAATATTTTAATTTTTTAATATTAAATTGCTTGCATGAAGTAACATTTTAAGAAAACATATCTACAGATCCTTATAGTTATACTCAATTTTAAATTAAATTCCTACAGTTTATTTTCATTTAATTAACTCCTTATAATTTAACTAATTAAATTTTTTAATTCCTAAAAGTTAAAATCCTTTCAGTTCTCCTTCAAAATGCAAAATTAAGAACTTTTATAACTTTATTAAATGATTATATGACTTTAAAATCAATAACATAATTTTTATAAATTAAAATTTATATAATTAAATTGTCTTTTAAATATTTTTTTACATGTACAGTTTTCATAAAATTAAAATAAAAATATAAACTGTGGATTAAATAATTTTTTTCTAGTTTTAATCAAAAATAATAAATTAAATTTTCTGCAAATTTTAAGCATATTTTTATTTTATAAAATTTAATAATTATTATTAATTTCAATCTTCAGGAGCCAACATGTATGATAGATGAAATTATAAAAATTTAGTTTCAATAAAATAAATTATAAAGACTCAATTTAAAATTAAATGAAAGTGTAAGACTTACAAGTGTATTTTTCTTAATATTTTTCCAAAGATCAAATGAGAAGGACCGTGGCCCCGTGGCCCCCACAGACCAAAAGCACACCCACTCCTCCTTCTATCTCAATTTCCAGCATCTCAGCAATGTCATGACAGCCCGAGGTTCCGGATATGCGGGCCCCACCTCCATGTGCATTCCTGTTCCTTCTTCTGCTTTCTCTGCTTTCTCATCACTCCGTGCTCTGGTATCCAGCTATACCCTTTGCCGCCATTTACTCCTCTCTTTGTTCTTCCGCTTCTGCTGCTTCTTCTCTCTCGTCATTTCCTTCGCTTTCTCTCGTTGTTCCTCAGGAGAGCGAATATGAGGAAAAAAACGTGCATAAAGTTCGAGCCTTTACTATTATTCCTTTCTGGGTTATTCTCAGTCTTCGTCTTCGTTGAGTCTCAAGCAAACCCTAGCCCAGATGGTCCTGCAATGGAAGCTCTCAAGAAGAGCCTCAACGCCCCTGACTCTATCGGATGGTCTAATCCGAATCCCTGCAAGTGGGATCATGTTGGTTGCGATGCAAATCGGGTCACGCGGATCCAAATTGGACGTCTAGGTCTTCAAGGTACTCTTCCCCCGAGTCTTGGAAATCTCACCGAGTTACAGCGCTTGGAGCTTCAATATAACAAGATTTCGGGTCCTCTTCCTAGCTTAAAGGGGTTGGGTTCTTTGCAAGTGCTTCTTCTCAGTAACAACCAATTTAGCTCGATCCCTAGCGATTTTTTCACTGACATGTCTCAGCTTCAGTCCGTGGAGATCGACAACAACCCATTTGAGGAATGGGAGATACCTCTAAGTCTTCGAGACGCTTCGTCCCTTCAGAACTTCTCGGCCAACTCGGCTAATATCACAGGCAAAATACCAGATTTTCTTAATGCAACTGTGTTTCCTGGTTTGACCCTTTTGCATTTGTCCTTTAATGACCTCGAGGGTGGGTTTCCCGCTAGCTTTTCTGGTTTGCCGATTGAGACTTTGTGGGTTAATGGGCAGACAGGTAAACTTAATGGAACCATAGATTTTATGCAGGATATGACTTCCTTGAGGGAGGTTTGGTTGCATTCAAATGCGTTTTCGGGTCCATTACCAGATTTTTCAGGCTTGAAGAATTTGGAGACCCTGAGTTTAAGGGATAATTCGTTTACCGGTCCTGTTCCTTTGTCATTGATGAGTCTTAAGTCCCTAAAAGTTGTAAATTTGACTAATAACTTACTTCAAGGGCCTGTGCCAGCGTTCAATACAGGGGTTGAAGTGGATATGAGTGAGGATTCGAATGACTTTTGCTTGCCAAGTCCTGGGGATTGTGATCCTCGGGTGAATACTTTGCTTTCCATTGTTAAACTTATGGGATATCCTCAAAGGTTTGCTGAGGAATGGAAGGGCAATGATCCATGTGCTGATTGGCTTGGGATCACCTGTAGTAATGGGAACATTACTGTTGTTAATTTTCAGAAGATGGGTCTATCTGGTACCATATCCCCAGAGTTTGCCTCAATCAAGTCATTGCAAAGAATTATCCTTGCCGATAACAATCTCACTGGTACGATTCCAGGAGAGCTCACTACACTTACGGTGCTTGCTGAACTAAATCTTGCAAATAATCAGCTTTATGGAAAAGTCCCTGCTTTTAGGAGTAACGTAATTGTTAACACGAATGGTAACAAGGACATTGGCAAGGATAGAAGCAGTTCAACTCCTCCAGGTACAGCATCTCCAAACCCAGCAGGTCAAGGTACAACAGGAGAAAATGGTGGGATTTCTGCAAATGGTGGCAAAAAATCTTCTCATGTTGTAGTGATCGTAATTGCTGTAGTTGGAGGTGTATTTTTGGTTTCGATGATTGGTGCCATAGTTTTCTGCTTGTATAGAATGAAGCAAAAGCAGTTAAGCAGGGTACAGAGCCCAAATGCTCTGGTAATCCACCCTCGTCATTCTGGATCAGATAATGAAAGTTTGAAAATAACAGTCGCTGGCTCAAGTGTCAGTGTCGGCACAGCTAGTGAAACTCAAACGGTACCTGGCAGTGAGACAGGAGGAGACATCCAAATGGTTGAAGCTGGAAACATGGTCATTTCCATACAAGTCCTTCGGAATGTGACTGACAATTTCAGTGAAGAGAATATATTGGGACAAGGGGGTTTTGGAACAGTTTACAAAGGTGAACTTCATGATGGTACCAAAATTGCAGTGAAAAGAATGGAGTCTGGAGCAATAACTGGAAAGGGTGCATCAGAATTTAAATCTGAAATCGCTGTTTTGACAAAAGTTCGCCATCGGCATCTTGTTGCACTTCTCGGCTACTGCTTGGATGGAAATGAAAAGCTTTTGGTATATGAATACATGCCTCAGGGTACACTAAGTAGGCATCTATTCAACTGGCCAGAAGAAGGACTACAACCCTTAGACTGGAACAGGAGGTTGACCATTGCTTTAGATGTGGCTAGGGGTGTTGAGTACCTTCATGGCTTAGCCCATCAAAGCTTTATACATAGAGATCTAAAGCCCTCAAACATTCTTCTGGGAGATGATATGAGAGCAAAGGTTGCAGATTTTGGTCTTGTCCGTCTTGCTCCTGAAGGAAAAGCCTCTATAGAAACACGAATTGCTGGAACATTCGGATACTTGGCACCAGAATATGCAGGTATCTTTTAGATTTACTTACTGGATATCATAAAACCTAGTGGGAAATGGTTGCATCCAGAATGGGTCAAAAATCATCTGAACATCCATGTCACCTTAGAAAGATAAACACTTTCTCTATATAGATATTTACTTGCGCAACTAATCTGTGCCAAGTCAAGATTAGACCAATTAACTGATTGAGAGGTTGATGTAAAAGACTAGAAGTTACTTTCAGTTGGCCATTTCTTGCTGCATTTGTTGTTTTGAAAAGTAAAAGATATTTAAAATATTCCATCATAAACTCATGTTATTTCTAGAAAGTCACCATTGCAGCCTAGAGAATCTATGTTTATGCTATGCATGTTCAATTCATGAAAATGGTCACTGACTCACTTGAATAAATCTCACTTTTAAAGCAGTCATGGTTGGTTGAGCAGGCTTTAAACCATCCGTACTCAAGTGAGTTGTGTGGAAGATTAAACACAAAGCTGTTTAGATACCTTGTTATCAAGTTCTTCAATAAAATTTTAACATACAGCCATATTACAATTTTTTAGTCCTTGAAATATTTTCTTTCACATGTCAATTCTATTGAGAACCTGGTAATGAACTCTTCAAAGTTTATAGAGATTATGACAGAGCCATTCATCGGCTTTCACTTAGAAGTTTAGGATTTTGAGTTGAACCATTAGTTAACATAGCACTAGAATTAACAATTATGGACTCATGGTTTGAATAGAGCAAGTCCTTGACACGAACAACTTTTTCCCATTTGTTTTGACGGGGAGTGATTATGGGTTGTATTTGTGTTTTGTTCATATCAAACTTCCAGTTTGAGTTCATCTTCATTAAATGTTAATCCTAACGTGTTTATGGTCATGTGATTGCAGTTACCGGCCGTGTGACAACTAAAGTAGATGTATACAGTTTCGGGGTGATATTGATGGAAATCATAACTGGACGGAAAGCACTTGATGAAACCCAACCTGAGGACAGCATGCACCTTGTAACATGGTTCCGCAGAATGTACATAAATGAAGAATCATTCAGCAAGGCTATCGATCCTACGATAGATCGCAATGAGGAAACTCTTTCTAGCATTCGCATAGTGGCAGAACTAGCAGGCCACTGCTGCGCGCGAGAGCCATATCAAAGGCCAGACATGGGTCATGCCGTGAATGTGCTTTCCTCTCTGGCAGAACTCTGGAAGCCATCTGATCAGAGCGCCGAAGATATCTACGGAATCGATCTTGACATGTCTTTGCCTCAAGCACTCAAGAAATGGCAGGCTTATGAAGGTGGAGGAGTAGGCCCTGTGGACTCATCTTCCTCCTCACTCCCTCCAAGCTTGGACAGCACGCAGACGAGCATACCAACACGCCCGTATGGTTTTGCCGAGTCTTTCACGTCAAACGATGGGAGGTGATGAATCAGGCTGGTTTGTAAATTGTGACTCAAGTAGTATTGTTTCTGTATCTTCATCCTCTTTGCTTCAGACAAAAGCTAAGGTTAAAAAAAATCCTTCCAGTTATGAGGTTCTTCGATGAAAATATAACATGTGGATCTGTTCTCCAACCAAGTTTCTTGATGACGTGTTATAATTCTATCGAAAAAACTTGTTTCAAGAACTTGAGAATTAGTACATTGCAGGTTTTGTCATTTGGATCTTGCGGGCTTTTTCATGTGTTGTGGCACTCTCTTTCTGAGAGTAATCTTGCATTTTCTTGGGCACATGTCTAGTGAGTTTTGTAGCCTCTTGGTCATGTTTTACTGTCTGTATTGCTGTATTGAATTGTATATCAGGAATCGTAATTTGACTTCTGCGCTGGACCTTTCCAATTGCACTTTTTTAATCTTCATTAATAATTTAAATCGGCGGAAAAAACCTCATAAGTTAATAATGTTTGTATCTTAATTAAGTGAATATACTTAAAATAAGATGCAACAAATTATAATATTGAACTATGATATACATGCACACACATACTTTCTCTATTAAAAAATATAAAATATTTTTAATTAAATTTTATTTTAATAAATTTGTTAATTGTCTTTTTAACTGAACTTTTTTTTTTATTTATTTTATTTCATTGGGTTTCAATTAAAAAAACAAAAAAATAATTTATTTATTACAAATATTTTTGAAAAAAATAATTATAAATTAAAACAATAAAAACGTAAAAGTGTTTTATATTTTTAACATTCAATTTATACATTATATATTTTCAAAAGAGGGAATATTTTGTGACGGCCATGATTTGTACTTGTTATTTCTGCAGGTGGCATTATGAAAATGCTTCTAAATATTTTTTCTCGGCCATATATATAATTTAGATAGTTGAAAGTGCTAATAATTACCTTATTAATAATTAAGTAAAAAATCATAAAATACTCCGTTATCAAGAATTACGCAAAGTCTGAATACGAAAGCACTTCTAATTATTATATGGCGGGTACTAATAGGGTATAAAAAAAATCTAATTGAAGATATTCCAATTATTACATGTTAACCAATATACTTAAGTTGCAAGTAAAAGATTGAGTATCTCTTGCACTCAGTTGAAGATTTTGTTTTTTTGGCCAGAACACTTGATTGAGGGGAGAAAAAGCAACTATATTGAAAGAGTTATTTTTATTTCGACGTGAGTTTAGAATTTTCTTAAAATGAAATTTTTTTACCCTATGTGAAAATTTTAAAATTATGTCTATCGAAAGGGTTGAAGGTAAAAAATAAAACTAATAAAAAATTATTTTAATTTAATCAATACTTTTAAGTTTGAGTCTTGAAGATGCAATAATATATAGGAGCCCACCACTTGAAAAAAACTTGAGATCTTGACGTAGGGCAAACAATGAAAAATTTCAATGGTTTGCCACTTGAAAAGATCGGTTCAGATTATTCTAAAACTTTACTTTCAACTCAGCGCGTAGCAGATTCTGGATGTTGTATGCATGAGCAAATTTAAAATTATGAATGAATATTTTAAACTTGGGTTTGGGATGAACGATACAGCTGGCAGGTGGGAGAGGGAGGGTCAATTTGAGAGGACCAGGGGATTCAGGCGCGTGGCAAGGAGATGTCGTTTTGGAGGAATATGACAGTGAAATTGTGAAAACGACAAAAATAGGAGAGGAGTAACGATGGAATAGAATATGTTTTGTTGCTTCCAACTTGTTGCCACAAAAGGCTACACCGTAATCTACTGCCACATGCAACTTGAATTTGTTCTGTCCTTTTTTTGTTTTCATTATTGGTTGTCCCAACGAAACGACGTATTGTTGTTGATTTTTACAACTGGCTTCCATGCAACGTGTCACATAACTTATTTGATATGACATTTTTTTTAAAAAAAGCTAAATATTTTTTTTTTAAACTTTTAAACACGCAATTGCAGAAAGAACTTATCAATGTTTTTAAAATTAAACCAGACCAGACGGACAGACCGATCTGATCGTCGACCGGTCTGATTCAGAGGAAAAAGCCATTTTAGGGATTGAGTCATTTTAAACTGATGGTCGGATCGGGAACAGAAATCAAACCGGGAACCAGATTTGGTTTTCAAAAACCGGACTGTTCAAATTTTTTTTATTTTTATCAATTTTTTTTAAAAAAATGACTAATTTTTTACTCATTTGATATTATGTTGTATCATGTGACTTGTTAAGTCATGATAAATTTAAAATATTTGATTTTTTTAAGTTAAATAGCAATTTCATATATATATTTCTTATATTTAGATTATTATATACATATATAATTTTTTAAATTTAATTATTACGTCACCGATTGGACCATTGGTCCAACCCGGTTGAATCATGCGAACTGTGAACCGCTGACTTTTTTGATTCAATATCCGGTCCGGTTCTAAAAACATTGAAAATTATCGATCTAATTTTCTTGGGTTCAATATGAATATTTTTATAATTCTTTTAAGAAATATTTTTTTTATATTTCTTGATTTGTAAGAAAATGTTATGAGAACTTCATAAGAAAAATAACAACTAAAGACCTCACTAGTAAATTAATATTGGTTAAGGATCAATTGACTTCAAAATTACATTATAGTCCCTTAGTCTTGGATTGATATTAATTTCTAAAATCAAAAGTCCAAATTGCCCTTATAATTAAAAAACAAAAAACAAAGAAAGAAACCCCCTGTCGTTGGCTCTAATCGTAGGACCATTGCCCCTACGACCTCAAGTGAGGTCGCTTGAGCCCTTGCTGTCAGCGGGGTATAAAAAACACAAATCTAATAGAACAAGTGTATAAAAACAAGCTATTCTAAATTAATAGTAGTCCATTCTAGTTTTAACAAGGTAAAAAAGCATATAGGATGAGCATAATTGTATGTGTTAATCTTTTATTAATAAGTATCCATTCAGGTTTTAACAATAATTTATTTTAAATTAATAATAGTTCATTTAGAATTTAACAAGCTAGAAAAACAATAGTACATTAGACATATGCTTTTAATCATCAGCTACAAGTATTTATTCGAATTTTGACAATAATTCATTTTAGATTAACAATAGTTCTTTTGATCTTTAATAAGTTAAGAAAACTCATAAGATAGATTTAATTATATGTGTTAATCCTTCATTAACAAATGTACATTTAGATTTTCACAATAATTCATTGGTAATTAACAACAATCTATTTTAGTTTTAACAAGTTAGAAAAATTGATAGGATGTGCTTAATTGTAGTCATTCATTAACAAGTATCCATTCAGGTTTTGACAATAACCTATTCGTGATTAATAACAATATATTTTGACTTTTAATACGTAAAATGCATGAAGTTTTAAATCTTTCATTTGTAATTGTCCATGTCAGATTAACAAGTAACATTTATAGAATAATAAGTTTCGTTTAGAAATTAACAACACACCATTATGTTATGACATGGAACTAGTTAGAAGCTTCATTTACTGTTTATAATTTTTTTTACTATATATAATTAAAAAGCTTGGTGGCCTATTAGCCACCTAAACTAATTATTTCTTAAATAAAAATGTTTCCAACACCGAAGCTCTGATAATCAACTGCCGGCAACCCCGTCAATTATGCTTCTAGTTTCAAGTGTCTTCTTGGATAGTTATAGTAGCCCATAGGCGCGAGATGTACCTTGTGGATGACCTCGCTGTCAACGATGGTCTGACGGTTGGCACAGGTGACAGTGAGGGTTTCTTTCTTGTTTATTTTTTTAACTAGAGGGACAGTTTGAACTTTTAACTTTAAAAATTAATATCAGTCAAGAATCAAGGAATACAATACAATTTTAAAGTCAATTAATTCTTAACTGATATTAATTTTCCTCAGCGATCCTTCAGTGCTATTTCCCCAACCTTATGTGTCCGATATCCTCTTATGCCTAAAAGACATGATGGATATTCGTGTAATTAAGAAGGATAAACTCGTCAAAAAAATTGGAAACCCAAAACAAATGTTTAGTTATAAAAGGAACATAAATCCTAACCTAAAATCTGACTCATTCACTATCTAAAAAAAAAATCTAAATCTTAATACTACAAAGTAACACATTACTAGGATCAACTTTGGATAAGATCAAAGAAACATTTTTCCCCCAACTGGGGAACCCCATCCCCTCCCTTTTATAATTACAAGTAACATGAAGTAATGTTTAATAGCGGAAATTTTTTTTCCTGAAAAGTAAATAAGGTAATTTATTTTTTATTTCTTTTTTAACATTACTTTTATTTGTATCAAAGATTTTCCCTAACAATATCATGGTTTCTTGGGATGGCCCTTCCAACAATAGCCGGGCGATTGGGTTAATGAGGAATGTCATTGAATGGACGAAAAAAATTGATAAAAACTCAACTAGTGAGAGCTAAATCTAATAAAAAATATTAGTCTCTTACAATATGACAAGTTAAAATTTAAATGTTTGCTGTGAGATGAGAAATGCCTATATTTAATATGTTATCATACTTTGAATAATATTACTTCTAATAAAATGACACCAATGCACAATTAAAAAATTGATAAAAACTCTCTAGTGATCAACTTATGGTTTCTGGATCAAATGCAAGGATACTAATAATGACAATAGTAACATTAGCTGATTTTTTTTACCAAAAAAATAAAATAAAACAATAGCTGATCACTTAAGCATGTAGATGCAGCAGTTTGAGGATTTTTTGGTCAAAATAATGGGTGAACAGTGGATTAATTTAGTTTCGGTTTGATTGCAAAACTGAAAACAAAATTTTAATTTTTTTTAAACTAAATTGAATTGAAATATTTTGGTTTGTTTGGCTCAGTTAATTAAAGTTTCGGGCCAATTAGGCCACTCATTTTTTTTATTAATAAAAATGGGTTTTTGTAATTATTTAGGAAAAATATAATTATTGATCCCTACACTTTTAGCACATATTTTTTTTGATAATAAGGCAGGTAGGAAGCTACCTACAGAATCAGATTACAAGCCTTATCAAGCCAATCCAAAGCAATAATTTTATTCAGCTCCTCAGATGAACGAACGAGTAGATGCATCCCAGGCATAGCGGCAAGTCCCTATTTTGCTAGATAATTAGCTGCCACGTTGTTCTCACGGCTTATATATTGCAACATAACCTCCCATTCTCTTCTCAAAAGGCTATGGATCTCTTTGACAAGATCATAATCCTAGTGCTCAACGCTTAGCTCATTGTACAGAAGATCTAAGGCATCCGTAGAGTCTGTCTCTAGCACAATGGTCCTCAAACCAGCATTCCAAGACATTTTAAGACTGACCAAGCAAGCTTATAACTTAGAGATCAGACAATCCACACTCTCTAGATGTATGGCAAAGTCTTG